TGGTTGTGGTTGTTCACCTCTTCTGGACTCTCCCTCACGCTCTCGCACCAGGATGAGGTCTATGAAGGCCGATCACCGGGCACAGGAGGGTCGTCCTGAAGGGGCAAAGGCCAACACCCTCAGAATCCCAGGAGTGCCATGGCCAACTGCAGGCCAACACCACACTGCCCACAGGCCATGGGGGAAGAGCAGGCTAGAACCCCAGATACTGGCCATCATTATTCGCGGGACACAAACCCCAATAAACAGGGTTCTCCCTGAGCCCAATTGGAAGGCAACGTCCTTCAGGGCTCTCCCTGAACCAAGGCAGAGTGGTTGTCAGCTCCTCCACTCAGACAGAGGTGGGTGAGAACAGTCTGCTCAGCATGCCAGCCAACCCAACCTGCCCAGGCCACACCAGGGTGGGTGACTCACACACATCCAACCCTCGACGCCCACCACAGATGGGGCTTCAAGTATCTGGCAGATACTGCATTGGAGGAGTGGATGGGGAATGGATGGGGTGTGGATGGGATGTGGATGGAGAGTGGATGGGGGAGTGGAATGGGAGTGGATGGGGAGTGGATGGGGAGTGGATGGGGTATGGATGAGTGTGGTGGATGGGGAGTGGATGGGGAGTGGTGGGATGGATGGGGGAGTGGATGGGGTGTGATGGGGGAGTGATGGGGATGTGTGGATGGTGAGTGGATGGGTGTGGATGGGAGTGGAGTGGTGGGGGAGTGATGGATGATGGGAGTGGATGGGGTGATGGCATGTGGATGGGGAGTGATGGGGAGTGGATGGGAGTGGATCGGATGTGGAGGAAGTGGATGGGGAGTGGATGGGGAGTGGATGGATGGATGGGGAGTGAGATGGGGGAGTGGACTGGGTGGATGGAGTGGATGGGTAGTGGATGGGGAGTGGAGGAGTGGATGGGAGTGGATGGTTGTGGATGGAAAGTGGAATGGGGATGTTGGATGGGGAGTGGATGGGGAGTGGATGGGGAGTGGATTGGGATGTGGAATGTGTCAGTGGATAGGGTGATGGTTGAGGGTGTGTGGAGAGGAGGGAGTGGATGGGGGATGGAGTCGATGGGGATGGAGGGAGTTGAGGGAGGGTGAGTAGGGCTGAGGAGGAGTGGTTGGGAGTGGATGGATGGCAAAGGAAAACACTGGCCAGGCGGACGTGGGAGGGTCCCATGAGAAGAGTCCTCACCGCTGGCACCCAAGAGGACAAGGACAGCCCTCACTGACTTGGGAGCACACTG